GCCGGCGGCTCGCGCGGGGGCGGGGGGCGCGCCGGGCTGGGGCGTCCGCGCGGGTCCCTTCCTCGCCTCGCGTCCGGTCCCGGGTGTTGGCTGCCTGGGCGGACGTGCGGGCGCCTGCCCTTGCCTTCCCGTCAGGCTCGGGCCGAAGCCTCCATCACTATCCCGCGGCCCCCCACATCCTTCAAGGAGAGGGGAGCGCGAGGAGCGGCCGGCCTGTGGAAGGCGCGTGTGATGTCTTCTGGGGGTGACTTTACGTCCTACAAAGCGCACCCGTCCCTTTCTCCCCGCCAGCCTCCTAACAGAAGGGAAGGAAGGCGAGGTGGGTGGTCTACGCTTGCCTCCTCGGTGTCCCACAAAGTACGGGGCTGGGGAGGAGCCACCTCCTGGGACAGGAGTAGCAGGGCCCGGTGAGGGGTGAAGTGAATACAGATCCCATCCCTGCAGAGTCTCAGCATGGCGGTCTTCCTGGTGGTAACAGGGCTAGAAGGAGAGTAAGCAGAGGTCCAATGCATTTATTTAGCCATCCTACAAATTCTGATTGAACATTTACTATGTGTTGGGAACAGGGCCAGGCACTGAGGTGAGCAAAACCCAGTGCAGTTTCTGCCGTCAAGGAGTCTGCAGACTAGTGAGGGACATGGACACAAAAAGGTGAAAATTGCAACACTGATAATTGCTAGTAAGGGGGATCAGATTATGCCACACCAAAATATGCCATTTTGGCATAAGGATTATTTTGGGCTGAAGGCAATTAAGAACTCTCCGCTCTTCCTTTTCTGTCCAAAAGCAGAACATATGTTTCCCTTTGTAAAAGTAGCATAAATTTCCGTTTGTTGAGAACTCTCCGCTCTTCCTTTTCTGTCCAAAAGCAGAACATATGTTTCCCTTTGTAAAAGTAACATAAATTTCCGTTTGTTGAAAAAAAAAAATCGTAACACAAAATTTTCCATTTGTAAAGATTTCCATTTTCCTGACCAAGAAGAGGACCTGGCTCTATGACTGTGAACAGCTCGGATATGAATCTGCATAAACACTACTAAAATAATCCTATCTTCCATTATTTTCCCCATATATTTGCCCTCTCACAATTTACTGCCCCTAGAAGCCCAAACTCCTCCACTTTGTCTAGTTGCTTTTCCACATTGTATCATCCTTCGTTAAAGTGATATATATGCTCCCAGGCCTAATCACTTCTTTGGGTTTACATTTCTTTCCTGTGAAATCTCATTATACATGCAAAATAAACCTTTTTTCCTATTCCATCTTTGAAAGGAGGGATGGTTGAGGGAACACAGTAGAAACAGCTATCAGTGGCGGTGGTACTGGTGATGAGAAGTGAGAGGTTCACACCTCATAGGCTCATAGCTTGGCTCCTGAGGAAAGATCGCATTTTAGGAAGGCTTTCGAGGGGTAGCTTTCCCAAGCTTCAGTGTTTGAGTTAGTGGTAGTCCCCTAATTTCCTCTTTTGAATACAAATGTGTTGGGTGTTACAGATACCTTTGATGACAAATGCGTGGGGTATCACAGATGTCGGGTAACTGGGTTTGTTCATCAGGTTGAAGGATACTTTTTCTTCCATGGTGGTGGAGTACTAGGAGATTGTGCTCCTTTGACTTTCCCATGAGATTCAGTGTTTTTAGCAAGAAAACACTCACCACTCTAAGGACTATTTTTGTTCCACAGATGCTGTCTAGAGACTAGTCACTTGAGACCTTAAAAACAGTGTTTGCAAGTATTATATTTCAAAGACCACCTACAATAGAATTCTTTGGAATGCTTCCCAAATTCTTGGGTCCCATTCCAGACCTTCTGAATTATAACTTTTGTGGGCAGAGCCCACAAGTCTGAAATTTTAGTAAGTACCCCAAATGATTTTTATGCAGACTGAAGTTTGAAAATCATTGTCTGAAAAAAGGTAGAAGTTAGGAATTTTCTTCACTAGTTTTCCAAGAGAATCCTAAATGCTAGTTATATCCTTTAAATGCTTTCTAGTTAATCAGTGCTACCTTTTACAGTTTCAATACTTTTTGTACAGGTGGTTTCCTGTCCTTCAAAGTTAATTAATGACGATGGGGACAGGGGTGAGAGGAAGAAAACTTGTTTATCGAGTAGCTGCTATGTAATGGGTGATTGAACATTTATCTGATTTAATCTTCTCTGCCTTTTTGTAAGCTGGTAATTACTCTTACAGATCAAGTCAGAGAAAGCTCAGAGCAGTTTTTGGCTTTAGTTTTTAAAACACCTTTTATTATGTAAAAATTTAAATGTATAATAAATTAGTCAGAATAGTATGATGAATTCCCATGTACCATTAGCTATCTTAAATTATTAACCCACACGTGGTCAATGCTATTTTATCTGTACTCCCTATCCACTTTCCCCACCTCCCGTATTATTTCTCTCCCTATTATTTTGAAGCAAATTGCAGACATAATTTCATCTTTAATATTTCAGTATGTTTTTAAAAAGGATTCTTAAAACCCATAACCATGGTACACTAATTATACTAAAAAAATAATTTTTTATTTGGATCTGTAACTGGCCAGTGGTCATGCCCTCTGACCCCCAATTCTTTAATATCATATATCTAGTCAGTGTTCAAATTTCCAATTGTCTCATAAATGTCATTTATTTTTTATATATTATCATTTGTTTGAATCAGGATCCCAATCAAGTTCACCCATTGCTATTAATATGTCTCAGAGATTTTTAAAGACATTTACTGTGGTATAATAAAAATTATATTTGGACTTTGTCTTGGATTTCTGTCACAGAGTTCATAAAACCCTGGAAATGTCCAGAGTGATGAGTGTCTCTTGTTACAATGAGTTTTTTGATAATAGCTGAGTTTATGCTAATGAGGTGACTTAGGATGGGGCCCCTAGATAGCCTAAGGATGGGGCCAGTCAACAGAAAGTAGAAGTGATTAGAGGATTAGAAGGTTGAAACTTTCAGGCCACCCACCAACCTCCAGGAAAGGCTGGCATTGGGGGTGGGGGGACAGCTATAAAAACTCATGGACAACAAGATACAAATGAGCTTCCAGGATGAACACATGGAGCTGCTGGGAGGGTGGTGAACCCAGAGATTGCATGGAAGCTCTGTGCCCCTCCTTCCCTTGCCCCATCCATCTTTTCATCCAGGCTGTTCATCTGTATCCTTTATAGTATCCCTTATAATAAACTGGAATATTAGTCCGTTTCTGTTTCTTATAACAAAATACCTGGAACTGGGTAGTTTATAAAACAAAATTTATTGCTTACAGTTTTATAGGCTGAGGAAGTCCAAAGTCCAGGGAACACATCTGATGAGGGTCTTCTTTGGTGGTAGCTTTACAGCAATGCAGGGGTCTCACATGGCAGAAAATAATGGAGCAGAGAGGCTCTCACATGCTATCCTTTTAAAACCCTCAGAACCATGCCCCGACCACTATTATAAATCCATTCACTAAGGCATGGTCCTACAATCTAATCACCTCTTCAAGTCTCCACCTTTCAATTACCATAATAGGATTTCCCACCCTCATCAGTTACAATGGGAATTAAGCTTCTAATACGTGAACTTTGGGATACATGATCCATTTTATCCACAGCAACTGGTAAGCCTAAATAAAGTGTTTCCCTGAGTTCTATGAGCCATCTTAAATAAATCATTGAACTGAAGGACGGGGTCATGTGAACCCTAATTTACAGCCAGTTAGTAATAAGTATAGCAGGCAGTCTGGTGGTACTGAGCCCTTAACCTGTGGGATCTGACTGAATGTTCCTCAAAACACAGAGCTAGGGCTTTTGCATCCGCTGTTTCCCAGGCAGTGAAGGCTAGTCCTTTGATATTGTATGGCTGGTTCTCTTTCGTAATTCAGATTCCAAGCTTCATGGCTTGCCCATTAGCTCACTTGGTTTAAGTGTGGTGTTGATAACACCAAGGTCAAAGGTTTGAATCTCCTTATCAGCCAGCCACCTACCCCCTCCCCAAAAAGACAACAGCAACAAAAAACAGATCCCAAACTTCAAAATCACTTCTTCAGCAAGGCCCTCCCTGAAGTTGCCTCCTAGTCTTTGTTGTCCCACTGTTATATTTTCATGAATGCACTTATCACTACCTGTTATTTTTGTTGTTTAATTTGTATTTTGTCCTATCCTACTTCAATGTAAGTTCCATGACTACAGGGACCTTGTCTGTATCCTTCGTGCCTAAAACAGTGCCTGGTACATATCAGGCATTCAAAATATATTTGCTGGATAAATGAAAGAAACCCAGGCCTGTCAGACCTTAAAGCTTAGAGACTGGTTTTCTCTGGGTGGTTCTTTATTCAGGCAATATTTTCCCCTCCACATGACATCTTGCACATTACTATGTCCTCCACATGCAAGGAAATAGATAAAGGTCTGTACTCTGAAACCAGACAATATATTTCCATTCTACCTCTCGCCCGAACCTTCTCTGAATTTAGCAAATAGTAACAGAACACCAATCATGTGCCAGGCGCTATGCTAGGTGCCGAAGACATAAAGTTGAATGAAGTACACTAACTTCCCTGGAGAAGGTTATCGAGGTTTTGGAAATACATAACTTGATTGCATTTCTTAGATTTCACGTCGCGACGGTTTCAACCTCTTACTGCGGGTCGAACCCTCTTGCGTCTTCGGAGACCCGACACAGCAGAGAGGC